CATCTCCCGACCGAGGTGAGTGAAGCCGAGCCGAGCCGAGGCGAGTTGCCTGTAAAATTTGAACTTACCAGCTACCTGAAAACTGTTTGGAACAGCTACTTTGTCACGGGTATTAAGTGATCGAATCGTTTCGAACTTCTCACTGTCGCCTCGTCCCCTTCCTCCTCTTCCTTGGCCCAGTTCAAGGTTAAAAGAAAAATATAAGAATGATGATGAAAAAATATAAGAAAAGATGATGGAAAAAGTAGGAAAGGAAATATGGAAAAAATGAGAATTATTAAAATAGATAAGAAATGTTTCGCTCCATTAAGTCGTATACATTTCTTACCGCTACCTCAGTTGCACCTCGTCAGTACGACGACTGTGGTAACAATATAATTTAGTTAAGAGCAAAAATTAACTCGTTCCCTCGCAGCTCTGTCTGTGCGCCTACGCTGTTGGAGAGTTTTACGAAATCTCTATCAGTTGGTTCCCGCTTCATATTCTTGGCGCGCCTTGACCCAGCACCGAAAATGCATCATCCTGGCGCACTTGTTCTGCCTTTTTCCTGCTTTTCTGGGTTGTTTTGGAGCGAGATACACGGGATTTCACGTTTTTCGCAACTTTTCGTACATAAATTTCCCTTACTTCGTCAATTTTTCACAAAAGTTAAATTTTAGCAATGTCTGGAAACGATGATGGCGCAGGTACAACGCTTACAGCGTTCAGACGTCGACGAACGGGGATGAAGAAGGGTGCGGCCGAGGCAAGCCGAAAAAGAGTGGCCGAGTCAAATTCATCGGATAGTGCCGGTGAGGATGGTGTTGGTGTTGCGGTGAAAACAGCTACATTGACACGGAAGCGGCGAAAAAATCCGATGATACAATCGGTATGCTTTAGCAAATTATCATATTAAAAAGCGAGTGCCATTTTCTGTTCCCTCTATGCCATCTCTGTTCCTATAAAGTTTTATTTCTGCGATACTGCATCAGTGGACATGGTTCTTCCGGTTCGACACTTTGGTCACATTGGCGATTTTTCAGAATTTGTACTAACTGCTGTTACTTCTGCATACAATCTTACTACTGATGATTTTGGCTCCTATTTACTTCCTGACCAAGATAGACGTAACTGTCAACTTCTTCCAAGTCAGCATACTTGCTGCAGGAGTTTTGGCGCTTATTTACTTCTTGGCCAAGATAGACGTAACTGTCAACTTCTTCCAAGTCAACAACATCTCTCAGTCGTTCGTTCCGTGGGTGTACTGGCACCAGTAAAAAAGTACCAGTAAAAAAGTATAGTAAGAAATTAGCCAGCGTTTCCTAAATTTTAAATTTTTTTAATAAAATTTTTTACTTTCTCAGGTTCAGTCTTGCGCTTCTTGGCCGACATTTTAGTAGAAATGTGTGCGTTACTTAAAATACTCTTTTCCTTTAATATTATAATAATTTTCTTATAAAAAATACCTGTAATTAAAGCTTTCTCTTTAGCAATTTTTGTCCATTTAATCCCTAATATTTTTAATAATTTCTAACCTGCTCCTGTCCAAAAAATTATTCTTTATCCGTGAAAAAAAATGGTTAAAAAAGTGCAAGATAATCCCAAAATCGTGTTTTTCTTTCCAGTCCACTACTCGAAAAGTATGCACAGAAGAGGTTTCTACATCGTCGTCATCGTCTTCGGATGGAGATACTGGTTCAGATTCATCGGAAAAAATGCGACAAATGAGTGCCGATGATCCGCTCCGTGTTACATTTGCATCCAGTGGCGCGGCCCGTGCCGGGCCATCAGATTTGGGTGCCACAGCAGTTAGCGAAATTGACACCGAAACAAGTTGTGATGCACAGGCACAGTTCGAACGAGTCCAGCAAATTTTGAAAGAGGAAGATCGCGATGACAAGGTAATAACTGATTTTTTTCTTTTTTCTTTTTCCAATGGATATTGGTTTTTTTGTTTTATTTAGATCTTCTATAAATCATAAAGGCGGATCCGGGGCGGTCTCCTGGGACGGAAGGCGGGAAGGGGCGACGGGGTTGCGGAAGAGAGTTTTCTTCAGTTTTAGCTTTATACCCTGACTTTTGTAGCACTGGTGCCAAGACCCTTCTCCTACCCCTCCGGATCTGCCTATATCTGTAAGTCTAAATCTGGTACCATAACCGTTCTTAAATTATTTTCACCAATTCTCGATCCCTTGGTTGTCTCGATTTTAACGTTCAGTTTTACCTTTTGAACGGATTTTCTTCCAACAAAAACAGTTATCAGGGCCGTAGTAGTTTGGCGATGTCATTGTTGTGTTTTGGGTAGTACCACATCTGAAAATCATTACCGTTTGTCTATGAGGAGGCACATAACCAGCTAGGAAATTTTTATTTGAAACAATGGATTCATAAGATGAAAATGACTGGTCGGAAGGAAGTACAGCTCACGAACGTACTAAACATGAAGGCCTCAGTTTTTTCTGTATTTTTACCATCCAGCAAATTCTCGGCTTTTTCTGTCATGCCTGGAACCTGTTAACGACTAAGTCGCAGAGCT